TTGAACCTGGACGGCAGAGGTTGCAGAGCTGAGATTGCGCCACTGCACTCCAGCCTGGGCGACAGAGCGAGACTCCGTCTCCAAAAAAAAAAAAAAGAAAAGCTTTTTGGCCCAGGCATCATGGCACACCTGTAATATCAGCGCTTCCAGAGGCCCAGATGGGGATCACTTAAGGCCAGTAGTTCAAGAACAGCCTGGACAAATATATGGAGACCCTGTCTTTTTTTTTTTTTTTCTTTTTTTAAAGAAGAGAGAGAAAAAAACAAAAGCAAAGCTTTTTTTACATGGGGACGAAGTTTGTAGGAGAGCGAAAAGTGAAGGTCGGGGAGGGCACAGGGAAGAGCTGCTGGAGCAGCTGGGGCCCTGGGCAGGCGGTGGGTGGAGTGGGTGAGTGCGTGTGGGGGGCGTCCTTCCAGGGGTCCTCAGTCTGTTCCTGAAGCAGGAGGCCAGGACCCAGCAAGCAATAAGCACTGGGCAAGAAGGGCTCAGGGTGCAAGAGGGAAGACATGAAGGATACATCAAGAACCTACTTCTCAGCTGGGCGCGGTGGCTCACACCTGTAATCTCAGCACTTTGAGAGGCCGAGGCAGGCGGATCACCTAAGGTCAGGAGTTCAAGACCAACCTAGCCAACATGGCGAAATCCTGTCTCCATTAAAATTCAAAAATTAGCTGGGCGTGGTGGTGGACGCCTGTAATGCCACCTACTGGGGAGGCTGAGGCAGAGTTTGCAGTGAGCCAAGAACGCACCACTGCACTCCAGTCGCCTGGGCAACGAGAGGGAAACTACATCTCAAAAAAAAAAAAGAACCTACTTCTCAGCTGGGCGTCAGGGCTCACGCCTGTAATCCCAGTACTTTGGGAGGCAGAGGCAGGTGGACTGCTTGAGGCCAGGAGTTCAAGATCAGCCTGGGCAACATAGCAAGACCCTGTCTCTAATTAAATTAAAAAACAAAATACGAAGAGCCTACTTCTCACCCTGCTCCAGCCACAGCATTTACTGCTTTGGCTACCGCACAGCCTCTCAGCTGATCTCCCTGATGTCACATCCCGCAGGACGGCAGCCTGTGGGAGATGTCGCGGAACCACCATCCTGCCTGGGGCTTGTTGACCACTCAGCCCACGTCTAACAGCCCTACAGCCATCCACTCCCTTTCAGGGCCTTTGCCCTGGCTTTAATCTCGACCCAGAATTCACCCCTCACCTCCTTTAAGTCTCTAGCAAATACCATTTCCACATAAGCAACAACAAACATAAATAAATAGGACCTCCATCAAAACTAAAGACTTGTGATTCACTATCAAAAACATGAAAAGACAACTCACAAAATGGGGAAAAAAATATTTGCAAATCACTACCTGATACTGGGACTTGTATCCTTAATACAAAAAGAACTCTTACAACAATTTTAAAAAATTTTTATTAGGCAAAAGATCTGAATAGACATTTCTCCAAAGAACATATATATGGCCACCAAGCACAGAAGACGCTCAACGTGACTAATCATCCGAGAAATGCAAATCAAAGCCACAACAAGGCAGGGGCGGTGGCTTAACGCCTGTAATCCCAACACTTTGGGAGGCCAAGGCGGGCGGACCACTTGAGGTCAGGAGTTCAAGACCAGCCTGGCCAAGGGAGTGAAATCCCATCTCTACCAAAAATATAAAAATTAAGGCCGGTATGGTGGCTCACACTTGTAATCCCAGGACTTTGGGAGGCCAAGGCAGGCGGATCACCTGAGGTCCGGAGTTAGAGACCAGCCTGACCAACATGGAAAAATCCCATCTCTACTAAAAATACATAATTAGGCAGGTGTGGTGCCGCACGCCTGCATTCCCAGCTACTCGGGAGGCTGAGTCCTCTCGAAGTTATAGTGAGCCAAGATCATGCCACCGCACTCCACTCTGGGTGACAGAGCGAGACTCCAACTCAAAAAAAACAAAATAAAAGCCACAATGAGACCCACTCCACAATCCACCCACTAGGATGGCCATAATCACAAAGATGGACAACAGCAGGTGTTGGTGAGGATGTGGGGAAACTGGAACCCTGTGCAGTGCTGGTGGAAAATAGAATGGGACAGCTACCATTGAAAACAACTCGGCAGAGCCGGGCGCGGTGGCTCACGCCTGTAATCCCAGCACTTTGGGAGGCCGAGGCGGGCGGATCACAAGGTGAAGAGATGGAGACCATCCCGGCCAACATGGTGAAACCCCGTCTCTACTAAAAATACAAAAATCAGCCAGGTATGGTGGCGCACATGTAGTCCCAGCTACTCAGGAGGCTGAGGCAGGAGAATGGCTCAAACCTTGGAGGGAGAGGCTGCAGTGAGCCGAGATCGCACCACTGCACTCCAGCCTGGGCGACACAGCAAGACTCCACCTCAAAAAAAAGAAAAAGAAAACAACTTGGCATTTCCTCCAACGCTTAAAACAGTCACCATATGAGCCCGTTATCCCACGCCCAGGATATCTGAAGAAATGAAAACACAGGTCCACACGAAAACTCACACATGAATGTTCATGGCAGCATTGTCCATTACAGCAAAAAAAAAAAAAAGGAAAACAACCCAACTGTCCATCAGTGGCACCCCCCCCCATGGAGCACCAACTGTCCATCAGCGGCACCTCCCCATGGAGCACCAACTGTCCATCAGTGGCACCTCCCCATGGAGCACCAACTGTCCATCAGTGGCACCTCCCCTTGGAGCATCAACTGTCCATCAGTGGCACCTCCCCTTGGAGCGTCAACTGTCCATCAGTGGCACCTCCCCCGTGGAGCGTCAACTGTCCATCAGTGGCACCTCCCCCGTGGAGCGTCAACTGTCCATCAGTGGCACCTCCCCTGTGGAGCATCAACTGTCCATCAGTGGCACCTCCCCCGTGGAGCGTCAACTGTCCATCAGTGGTACCCCCTCCATGGAGCGTCAACTGTCCATCAGTGGCACCTCCCCCGTGGAGCATCAACTGTCCATCAGTGGCACCTCCCCTGTGGAGCGTCAATTGTCCATCAGTGGCACCTCCCCCGTGGAGCATCAACTGTCCATCAGTGGCACCTCCCCTTGGAGCGTCAACTGTCCATCAGTGGCACCTCCCCTTGGAGCGTCAACTGTCCATCAGTGGTACCCCCTCCGTGGAGCGTCAACTGTCCATCAGTGGCACCTCCCCCGTGGAGCGTCAACTGTCCATCAGTGGCACCTCCCCCGTGGAGTGTCAACTGTCCATCAGTGGCACCTCCCCCGTGGAGCGTCAACTGTCCATCAGTGGCACCTCCCCCGTGGAGTGTCAACTGTCCATCAGTGGCACCTCCCCCGTGGAGCACCAACTGTCCATCAGTGGCACCTCCCCCGTGGAGCACCAACTGTCCATCAGTGGCAGCTCCCCCGTGGAGCGTCAACTGTCCATCAGTGGCATACCCATCCAGTGGAATGTTACTCGGCTGTAAAAAGGAATGCGCTGCTGGTACACACTACACCACGGCCACGGGTGAGTCCTGAAAACACTAAGTTAAGTGAAAGAGGCCAGGCACGAGAGACAACAGAGAACAGGCAAACTCACAGGGAAGGAAAGCAGATGAGTGGTGGTGAGGGGCTGGGTGGGGTGCTGGGGGCACAGGAAGGAACTGCTAACGGTAAAAGGTTTCTTTTCAGGATGATACAAATGTTCTGGATTTCTGTTCACAAATATACTCAAGTTTCTGGACTAGTAGTTCTGGTATATAGTAAACCATTAATACACAATGGTCAGTGGATGAATAGATGGATGTGGACAGGTGAACGGATGAGTTGGTGGGTAAATAAATGGATGGGTGGGTGGTGAGGTGGACGGTAGACAGTAGGGTGGGTGGGTGTATGTGACAGGTGGTGGGTGGGTGAATGGTGGATGGGTGAATAGAAGGGAGAGGAAGGAGAATGGAGGAGAGGAAGAAAACAGGAGGAGAAGGAAGCAAGGATTTCTCTTCTAGCAGGATCCTGCAAGTCCCAGGTCAGTCAGACTCTCTGGGGTAGACAGCTCCATCAATGCTGACAGCCTGGCACCCAAAGCCATCAGCTCTCCTTGTCTTCTCTATCAGCACGTCCCTTCTTCCCTTAGTCTTCCTTCACCTACTTCTGCCTCCCCGCTGGTCCTGCCTCTTCTCCAAGGCAGAAAGGAAGAAACGTGTTCTGCAAACGTCTATGAAGGAGGCGGGAGCTTCCCCTTCGTAACACTCTCACTTTTCTTCTTGTAGAAGGTGCAGTCCCTCTCAGAGGTCCTGTGCCATCTGCCACAATCCTAAAAGGTAATTTACCCTGAAGGCAAGGATAATTTGGATAGACTCTTTTCTGGATTCCATGAAACCAAACAAGCAGCATATACTCTAAGACAAATTCCTGTAAGATTTCAGATGTCAAAATGGCCAGACCCATGTGAGAAGCAGCACAACAGCACACCTTTCCTCCCCGAGTTCCCTAAAAAGACAATGCTTTCACTGCAGACATCTTTATTTCAAAAAAACACACCAAAACTTTTACTCTACTTAAATCAACTTTTTCTCTTCAGTTATTTATTATTTTGTCCCCTATTCACAGTGCTTCAAGCAGAAGCCAGAAATCTCTAATGCTAAAATCCACCACCACCCCATCTCTAAAATTATCTTCAAATAAAAAACAAATGTCTACTTAAGCTACAGCCTCCCAGGTCCTGCTTTCCCCATGTCCCAGCCTCTGCCCGTGCCCCAGGGCTGCAGTCACACACCTGCTGCCCATCTCCTTCAAGCCACCCTATCAAAGAGCGGGAAGGAGGGGAGGAGGAGCAGAGTAAGGCCAGAACCAGCCGATACCTGACCTCCACATGGTCTGGAGAAATGGCTCCTAGAAAAGTACAACATTTTCAACTCCAAAGAGATGAGAACAAATAATCTCTAAGGGTTGAGCTAACCCAGGTGGAGCTGCTAACATTAATCACCGTTAAAATTTACATCACAGGTGTTCAAAAACAGTCCTGCATCAGCATATTTGCATACCTGGTTAAACAGTTCCTCTCAGAACCACTACCCAAAACAGTGCCAACTTCCAGTGCACAGCATCCCACAGACGCCACTGCTGCTGGGGACACGTGAGCGATGGCACTGCCCGGGCTCACTGAGTGGCCTCCACCGCGATTCAAGGGCAGGCACAAAGGAACGCCCTATTGTTCCCTCGTCCTCCTCATGCTGTGCGCTGAGCTGGAGTTTCCTCAGAGCTAGGAGAGAAGCCTACCATCCCCCACCCTTTTGTTCGAAGAATACGGTTCTAGAACAGGCAGCTATGAACCAATCTGCTCTAATCCTGTTATTTACAATTAATTAATTAATTAAAACACAGCCCTCCTCACTAGGTCTCTCCCCAAGATGTGCCCAGCACTTGCTTGAGCAACGTCTTATTTTCTGTGGAATTGTTTAGAAAATCCAAGTGGAGACTCTGCTGCCTCTTTACCCTCCTCACCATTCCACGGAAAATGGAGTCTCCCAATGAACACGCAGACAGGATCATCATACAGCCCACATGTGTGGACGGGGACGACACAGGCTCTGAGGGGGGAGACTATGTTCCCAGCTCTCCTGATGAGTGGTCAATGCCATTCTCACATCCTGGGCGGACAGATTTCCCTTTCTGCAGCCTGCATGGCACCGAGCCAGCTGCACAGTGGCACGGCCAGCCCTTGCCCTGCACAGCCTGGCCTCGGGTCCCAGGTCCCTGTTCACCTGGCAGTGTCGTCCCTTCCCAGCCTCACTCCCTCCACCACTGAGGCTGCCATGGGGGCAGGTAGGAGAATAAAACAGGAAAACACTGCTAGTCAGCAAAAAAAGTTCACGCACGCTCTTTATAAATGTTCAAACAAGAGAAAAAGTCCTGGTTTATCATCAGCATAACTGAAAAAGGTCAGAGTTCCTCCTGCTACCAGCAAATGCGGAACGGGCTTCAGCTGTTCTCAGTACCCTGAGTTGGAGGGGGACTTCCCGTCCCACTCCCAAGAAAGCACACGTGGTGGGCGACCAGAGAGCAAAACAGGGTTATTCTGGCAGGGAAGGAGCACAGCGAACAAGGAGGTGTCCCCACCATCGCAGCAAGCGTCCCTGCTCTGCAGGCCCTGACCTGGGCCTAGAAGCACCAATGTAAAAGAAAGAGGGATTAAGCAAAGGAAAAAAAGTACCAAATACCACGTCTCTTGCTTGTACCCCATCACTTTTTTCCTCCTGTCTTAGTGCAATTGTTGACTGCGGCCAACTGCAGAGAAATCGCAGTAGCCCAGCTCGGCGGCTCCCTCTGAAGGCTCCACGCACTGGGCATGCTCCAGAGCCATCTCACGAAATGGAGGCAGCCCCAGCGGCAGGATTCCAGAGCTGCACGCGGCCGCCCAGGCACCTCCAGGCCTCCTCGGAAGCAGTTTAAACCCTGGCATTCACAACCATTTGAAAACAATCTGAGTGTTCTCTGATGGAAACCGTTTAACCAGACATTTATTGTTTCACCCTAAAATGTGAAGGGTTCTTCCCAGAAACCATCAACACAGCTCATCCCAAAAGCAATCACTGCTCGGAGGGCCTCTTGGGATTCGCTCTGCTGAAAAAACACTAACCAAAACCTAGACGTGGAGTCTGGCGACCAGCCCTGTCACAGCAGCTCAACTCACAGAGACGTTTTACCTCTAGGCCAAGAGCCCACAACATGACCGTGGGCAGGAAAGCAAACGGAAAACACCAGCTCGCAATGCACACCTCCCACCGGAGCTCCTGTCCCACGGCCCAGCATACCAGGGTGGGTCTCAGGGCAATGCTTCTGCCACAGGAGTAGCTCCAGGACGCACCTGCCTGGCGCAGGCTCAGCACAGCAGCCCCCCCACACTCAGGCTGCTCCCAAACATCACCTCCCGTGCCCACCCCAGCTCCAAATTTCTCACAGGCAGAGACCCTCATACAGCTATGCCAGCTTTCCAATCAAGACCAAGTTGTAGCTCTTAATATAAAACAATAAATATTTGAAGTCCTTTTTCCATAAAAATAGGGAATATTTTTAAAAATAGTGTATTCAGGTTCCATGCAAACTGCAAACTAAAAGCACAAATATTATTTTCTATTTTTAAGGTCACATGACAGTAAATAATACTAACTCTTCTCTATAAATGCTACTCTATAACTCCCACACTTTCTGGTACAATATCAGTGTTGACTGCCCAAGAGTTGCAAAGTGGGTGGTCCAACGGAGCTGGGCCCGCAAGCTGTGCTTACCAGCCAGGGAGGAGACACGCCAACAAAACACCAAGTCCGAAAAGCGATGCAAGTGATTCCTCTTTAAGTACACAGGTTCCACCCAGCCAAGAGCAAACAACCCAGACACGGGACTCCAAGTTCAAATGTAGAAAACACAATGTCAACAGATCCATCTTAAGGCAACAGAGCATGGTCATTTACAAACCTATCTGCAGCCCGCACAGAAACAGAAGAGAATCCTGCCCTCCACCTCGGCTCCCTTTCCCATATGGACAAAGAACAGAGAAGGCAAACTAAGGGAAATAAATGCATATGACTAATAAAAACAAATGCAACTGAAAATACATTTAAAGCAACAAAGACACCATTTTTCCACTTATTGAATTGGCAAAAAAAAAAAAAAAAAAGTAAAGTCTGTTAATAAGAGTACCGGGTCAGGCGCAACGGCTCACACCTGTAATCCCAGCACTTTGGGAGGCGGAGGGGGCAGATT